AGACCTGATTGGCTCGTGCCGAACCACCAAGTGCAGAAATGATGTTGTTAAAAAGTGAGTGCGGACGCTGAAACTGAATTTTTATCTTGTGTCGAAGTTAAGTCCACTTTCTTAATGGTGAAATTTTCAAAAAATCCGAGAAATTTCAACTTGCAAGCAACAAGATTCAAGAATGTAAATGAAAACAACTCTGTGCTGAGGTTCTTCGATATCTAGTGTGAAATCAGTCTCCAAGTTGCCGGAAATTGCCCGCTTCAATTCTGGTCCAATTTCATGCAGCGTTCGTAAGCCTGCTTGTAAGGCCATTGCCTGTGAGGTCTGCTGCGGTACAACACCTAAAATTAGAGGCAAAACTTATTCATACGAATCCACTTAATGAATAATCATTAGAAATTGTAGTAAAATCGCTCCTCCCTCAATTTCAGATATCCGGAATCTTTTCGATCCCTTAATCTTTTCGAAAATCTTTTCCGGAATCTTTTCGATCTTACGTTCACAAGGTTTTTGGCCAGTCACCTTCATAAAGCAAACGATATTAATGCTTCCTCACCTTTGGATTCCAGTTCCTTTCTTTTTTTAAACCTACGAAAATAATCCTGAATCAAAAAAGTGGCATAAAATTTTCCAACTGTAACATCATCGTCTCCTGAAATGAATCGAACTTTTACAAAGAAGAAAATCTTCCAGTTTTCAATATTTTTTATACTAATAGGTGGTAAGCAACAGCGATGTTTTCCTAATAAAATCTAAAACATTTGAATTTAGTATAAAATGTAAAAATGACACAAAGCGTTAATTTAAAATTCATTAAACTGTAGCAAAAGAATCACTTCCCGCAGGTGGCACCACTTCATCCAGCATTTTCTGTGGGGTACGCTTCCAAATTCGACGAATAGCTGATCGTAATTGTTCATTCACTTCATCTATATTTCCTTCCGTGTAAATTTTTAAATTTGTTCGTACCAGAGCAAACAGTGTTGCATTGAAACACACTGTGCCATCTGAATTCAGTGGCATGTTCATTGACACCAAACGCTGCAAACTTTCTAGTATAAAACCTGACAAGGTACGATACAAAAGAATTTATGTGGAATTTAATCCAGGTATGATCTCAGCTTTGACCGACTATGTAATCATTATTTCTTCATTTAAAGTACTCTTTTCTCAATACATTGCTGACAGTTTCTCTTCTGTTACTCATAAATTTATAAAATAAAGCTCTACCAATAAAACGATTTTTCTTGCAAAATTTGTCGGATGCTTTGATTAGGCCCATAAAACATTAATCAGATAAAAGCTAATTCAAACAAAATGATTAGGTTCATCAACAACTAATAATCCATGCATTATAAATGAGTGCTGGCAAGCAAAGGAATCCTAACAAAAAAGAAGATGAAGGGTAGATAATTTAAACGTGCGGTCACGCTGCTACCAAAGTATTTGTACTGCAGTAGTCAGTGAAATAATTTTACTCACTTTCTATGCGACGATCAATGGAATTGCTTCCATCTAAAAGTTGACAAATTTAAGTTTGATAGAAAAATACCTTGCAAGCAAGTCGGTGTGGACAAAGTTTGCCAAAACCTAATGGTGGTGAAATTTTACGTAGCAAAGTAACAACATCCAAGTGCTTTATACGTCCCTTTGCATCTGGATCATATTCCGACCATAATCGGACAAATTCTTCTAGATGATGTGGTCCAAGGATACTCCAATCCCGAGTTAAATAGTCGAAGTTGTCCATAATAACTGCCACAAACAAATTTATGACCTTAAAAAAAAGCTTTGAGTAACAGGCCGGTATCCTGCTCTCTTTCTATTAAATTAAAGTAGTCATTTCATTTTTACCAGGAAGGAACACAGCATGAAGAAGGAGATGAAATATGGGTAGGCAAAGTCCACTCCGCATTTCGCATCTGGGTTCTGTTTATAATCATCACTAGCCGGATCACATTTCACTTCATCTCTATCCGAACAAGAAAGCATTATTTCTTGCCACGCTTCACCGGTTGCCGATCTATTACAGTTTTAAATATTAGACTTCGTATTTCCATTAATTATGTTGAAAGAATTCAATTTTTGATAAATTAAATCCAGATGAAATTGACAAGAAGATACCGAAAAGGACAAGCACAGCAGCAGGAAATGTATGAAAGTTGTTGTTGCGATGAATATGCGTCTCATCATTTAATGCCACTTTCCCAAATACCTACAAATACTGATTACTGGCAGAAAACTACTGAGTAATAAAACTTGAATTACTGAATGATAAAACCTGAATGATAAAAAAACATCATTGACCTTGTTTGCAACAATTTCAGAAGTAAAAATAATAGGAATACTCTAAAATTTATAAACTTCCTGGTTGAATCCAAGTCACTTTTTAACAGATGTAAGTTCGTTGAAAAAACATACCTGCATCCCAATGACAGCATAAATGAAAAACAACAAAACAATTAGAAGGGCAACGTATGGGAGCGCCTGCAAAGGGGAAACTTAACGTGACATTTGGCAGTAATCTAGATGATAATCTTATACGAAAGTAAAGTTTAGATTCTGAACTTCCCAAAAAGTATTCTAAAAGCAAACCTGAAAACTTTTCATAAAAGTCCACAATAATGTTCGGATCCCTTCTCCTCTACTCAGCAATTTCACTAATCGCATCACACGGAAAAGGCGAAAAAAATTAATGCTTATGATATTTGAGCCAGGCGAGAGCTTCCCGTAAATAATATCAATAAATGAACCTAATACGATAACAAAATCAAATGCATTCCACCTGCAAATGGAAACATATAAGCCAACAATTCAACATTTAATAGTTAACAAATTGCAAATTATCGAAATAAAAAATATTAACAGTAATCTTCAGTTGAGAAACCCGAACTGAATTGCTGCAGGAAACTGATATTTGGTGGTTCCAAGCAGTGGTTGGATATATCATCACAAAAAGCTTTAATTAAGACGTAAAGATCACTGTGTGTACTGAGAAGCCAAGGTCAAATAATTCGAGTATCCTAACCAGCAGATGGAACATTTAACATATGAAACTATCAGCTTCTTTTGATAGATCGTTGCAAATTCATTCCCAGCGAATACCTCCAAGAACAGTGGCACGCGCAAAATGAAAAGCGGGAACGAATAACTGACTTATTTGTTTACTTCACTTTCTCAAAATAGAAAAGAAAAACTTTTGAAAAAGGCGAAGAACTTGCCTGTCACCAAAGTAATTTTTGGGATTTAAAGCGATGATTTTAAATAGTGCTTCAAGTGCGAAAACTCCCGTAAAAATAAGATTGAGCACATCAAGTACGTGGTCCATGCCAGGATCTGGAGGATAATGTTTCATTGCCAGCGTAGTCGTGTTTAGTAAGATGATGATGAATATGACATATTCAAAGAACTGTGACGTTACGAACCACCAAACACGATATTGGAAACGATTGCGAGGTATATATCGCCGATGTGGTTTTGCTTTTAATGCAAATTCAATACATTTACGCTGAAAATATAGCAACCACAGTTTGGATGATAAATAAGAGGAAGTAAACTGCGTGCATATGGTCGAAACATCAAGAGAATTTCCAATAGATTTAATTAAATAACAATTCAAATTGTCAAAGGAAAGTGAATTTCTACTTGATTTTTGTCCAGCTCGCAATTTTCATATTCTCTTTCTCCTTCATTTTGAAAAGTAACGATAACGAAACCAACGAAGATGTTCATCATGAAGAATGCAATCACAACAATGAATGTAATAAAAATATGGCAACTGCTTGACGAGCATTGTACACTGGGCCATGGTCTTCTTCGTTGGAGTTTATAGCCACATACAGCAGACTGAGATCATGATCATTTTAATGCGATCGACAAGACCAACCCTCTATGCATTATTTTCGATGTTACTGAGACCCCAACGCGCATCGAATAAAACTAGTACAGGTTATCATCTTCTCACCAGTCTATCCCACCCGCTATTTCTAATTCGCGGACGCTCCATTTCAAATATGATGACATTTTATTATACGTTTTTCTTTTGAATTTTTAAAGAAAGTAAATAAAAAATTTCAATATAATAGCAAACATGTTTTGAGATGCTAGTTATATCTGACAAATTTTGCCGAAAAATTGTAAGATCAATTCGAAAAATGAAACTTACTCAGGCCAACCTTCAAAGGTGGAAACAACAAATAGCGAAATCATAGCATCACCAACATTATCGAAATTGAAATCATTCTTAATCCATTCACGTCTCATTCGCAGAGGTTTCATTGGATCACCATCTTCATAGGCCAGAAACTCACCTCTACAATAAAAATTATGGTTAATCAAGTGATCCACTGACAGAGGATTCAATAATATTTTTTCATTCGATTTCTTTTAACAAAATAACCACCAACCGGCATTCATATTCAGTCATCTTCGATTCGTCAGTGCAACGGAAGAAAGTACCCTTGAATAGTTGTACACCAATAATAGCAAACATGAACTGCAGCATGAATGTGACTAACATGATGTTTCCGATCGTTTTTACCGCAACAATAACACATTGTACAACATGCTACAAAACGTGTCGTTTTCTTTTGAAACCAACTGTTCTTCAACTTTGGTAAACTTTCAGTTACGTACTATTCAAAGCACAAGCGAAATGTAATTAAGGTAAAACAATACAACCTTAAGGCCTTTGGCTCGATTGATTGCCCTCAATGGCCTCAACACCCGCAGAACTCGAAGGATTTTAACAACAGAAATAGCGTCTGATTTGAGGACAAAAGATACAAGAGACACAGCGACAACAAGAATATCCAGCAGATTGAACGCATTCCGACAAAATGAACCTTTGTGAAACATCAATCCATAAACAACCACCTTCAGCGTTATTTCAACAGTGAACACCGTGGTGAAAAAGTAGTCGAAATAATTCAAAATCTGTAAAGCTTCATAGTTCAAGCAGACAAGGTATAACAAGCCGGAAATGTTACATCACTTATATGGGTCTTATTTTTTTGGTAGTGTTTACTCTGTTTGGTACCACGCCCACCATTACACATAACAAAAAAAAAAATCTGATATTCTAGAACATAAATCATAACTAAAATTTGGAATTTAGTACCTTAAACTATATT